ATGAAATTATATTCCAACAAACCGTTCACCGGAATTCACAGATCCGCGTTCCGGAACCGATGCAAAACTGGCCAGAATCATCACAAATCATCTTCATTCACTTGATTCTACCTATTTGACATGATTTGACATGCCACAAGATACTTTTGCCTGAGATATTACTATGTCCTACAGAATCGATTTCCGGGACTCCGGTTACCGATAATATCGTAGCCATACGTTATGGAAATATCTAAATTCAGTCTTACTAAAGGGTGATACGGTCAAAATTTGGTCAATATCAACTTGACGTATTTCTTTCAATTTTGCATTTAAAAAACCTGAACACCCCTCATTTTGAAGGTGTGTGTGTGTAGAATGTTGCTCCTATTTTGATTTTGGAATTCACTCTTCAGTTGTCAAAATGCCGTCCAAGCAAGAAGAGCAGCGTATCAAAATTTTGCTCGCGCATCACGAAAATCCGAGCTACTCGCACGCAAAGTTGGCAAAATCGCTAAAAGTTGCCAAATCAACCGTTACAAATGTAATTATAGTGTTTGGGGAACGTTTGTCGACAGCCAGGAAGTCTGGATCGGGGGGAAATCGAAAACCGGAAGTTGCTGAGACGACAAAGAGAGTTGCCGGTAGTTTCAAGCGAAACCCTAACCTCTCTCTCCGAGATGCCGCAAATAAGCTGGGTGTATCGTCTACAACCGTGCATCGAGCCAAAAAACGAGCCGGACTATCGACTTACAAGAAGGTAGTGACTCCAAATCGCGATGATAAACAAAATACGACGGCCAAAGCGCGATCCCGGAGGCTGTACACGACGATGCTGACGAAGTTTGACTGCGTGGTAATGGACGACAAAACCTACGTCAAAGCCGACTACAAGCAGCTTTCGGGACAGGAGTTTTATACGGCAAAAGGAAGGGGAAAGGTAGCAGATGTTTTCAAGCACATGAAACTGTCAAAGTTCGCAAATAAATATCTGGTTTGGCAAGCCATCTGTACATGTGGCTTGAAAAGCAGCATTTTCATAGCTTCCGGGACTGTCAACCAAGAAATTTACGTGAAAGAGTGTTTGAATAAACGTCTGCTGCCTTTCCTGAAGAAACACGGTTGTTCCGTACTGTTTTGGCCGGATTTGGCATCTTGCCATTACGGTAAAAAGGCCATGGAGTGGTACGCCGCCAACAACGTGCAGGTGGTTCCCAAGGACAAGAACCCTCCCAACACGCCAGAGCTCCGCCCAATTGAGAAATACTGGGCTATTGTCAAGCGGAACCTAAAGAAGACCAAAAAAACTGCTAAGGGCGAGCAGCAGTTCAAGGCAAACTGGCTTTCTGCGGCGAAGAAGGTGGACAAGGTGGCTGTACAAAATCTGATGGCAGGGGTCAAGCGTAAGGCCCGGCAATTCGGATTTGGAAAAGCGGAAGCCTAACTGAATATTTTTCCTGAATTTTATACTAATTGAACTTGAAAAAGAAATTTAATTTGATTTTTTAAATAAACGATTTCACCGATTTACACGCGTTTTCCCTTGACCAAATTTTGACCGTATCACCCTTTAATCATATTTCATCAATCTGATATCATTTTCTGCACCAGACAACCGATTCACGTGAAAATTTTATAACATTTGGTCAAACTGGTTAAAAAGGTACAAAAAAAAAAACACAGATATATTTGCATCTCCCAAGAATGATGAGGGTTCTAAGGGGGCGGTACTTACGACAAAAGTTAGTTCAACTATTCCCCTTGAATAAAAACCAAAGTTTATGAAAATCGGATGAGGCATTGCTGAGAACGAGTTTGTTGAAAAAAATTCGTTCGTCCTGGTACTTTACGGGTGTAAATGCACTATCAAATAGATTAAAATCGGATTGGCGTCTTGCAGTGAAACTTTTCCAAGCTTTCGCCACCTACATTTCGAAGTGAGAACTACTAGAAGGAGGATAGTTTCCAAATTTTCCAAGTAAAACAGACGCTTTTTGGGGCAAATCGGTCCAAAACTAAACTAAAAGTAATAATTTCCCGTGGAAACTTTTGCTTGAATCGTGTAAGAAAACGTGTTTGAAAACTATTTGTTATTATTTCGGTGTGGATCGGAGATGTTTTCATGGCAAATTATGCATAACAAGTTTGCACCCACAGGGAGAGGTTACCTCCTGCGCAGCTGCATTTTTCAGAAAATAGTAAATATGTGCGATTTTCACTAAGATGAAAGTGGAAATTAAATGAATTAACTTAGGAAAGGTTGTATCATGCTGGTGGTAATAGAGAATTGGTTGTAAACATATTGATACTCACAATTTTCGACGGAAAACGCACCGAAACTTGATTTACTCAACACGCACCATACTATAAAATGGTGCTAGATGGTCTTGAAAGTGATAACAAGATGACAAATCATCTTTATTTTGAGTAATTGAGCAATTTACTTCTGTTTACCATCATATTTACGATGCAGCATTGATGGAGCCGTGAAATGAAATGAATATATCTTATGAAAGTTCACCAAGTCAAAGATGCACATCAGTCTGATCGTAAAAACGTTTTCTTCTTCAATTCGCATGTTAGATTGGAAGGATTTCACGCAGGCTTGATGAAAATTATGATTTAATGCTAATTTTTACGAATTTTATATGCAGTCTGTCAACATTATCATCATCATGCAGTGGCGACATCTGCTTTGAGCTTTTGCGGCAATCTTCCAATAGAAAAAAAAATACACATGCAGGAATCTGTCAAAATACAAATAACAGATAGGAATTGGCACTCAGCTGGCCGGACCTGGGACGGGACATGACAATCGGGTAGCGATTTCGAGCCAATTTACTGTCAAATCCGAGCCAGTTTCTCATTGGTCGTAGCAATCGTGGAATAAAAAGGACAGAGGGATCGCATCAATCTGGCTGGCAGTGATGCCGGAATCAATGTTGACGTCAATGGCGTTGTTGATTGTTTATATTTACGAAAGGAAAGTTTAAAAAATTGAGCGCACTGCGTTTTTTAAGCGATGGATATTGTTGTTTGTTTATGATTGTTTTTAATGTATTGAGCAAAAAATGATGTACAAGCTGCGGTAGAAACTCCGAATAAAATCCAAATTAAAATAGAAAAAAAAAAATAATTACATTCCTGGCATCATTGGTCAACTCTGTCAAATACCACGCACAACTTTCCCAAGGGCATTCTTCAAAAATATTAAGAAGAGTGAAAAGCTCGATTGTTATGTCCCGTCCCAGGGCCGGACAAGTTACGCATGACGTTAAGTTTTTTAAAGTGACTATATTGCGCTTCCAGAGATTTATTTCCGATTTAGCGGCTTAATTCAAAGATGAAAAAGATTCACCGCAGGTGTCAAATAAAAAATGTTTCAAAGAATCGCCAGCAAAAACACTTAAAGTTTTCCAATGCACACTATGTTTTTTTTAATACTCAGCTCATATTCATACTGGCGGTAGCACTTTGACAGCCACTGTAATCCTCTACGGTAGCTGCCGAATGGATATTTTTTTCGTAAGATCTGCATTGATAATAAAACAAAATAGTAACATACACCGGGGGCAAATTGATATCTGGTTAACCCTAACTTATGTATCGACATAAATTTCTACAAAAAAGAACATTATCAAATCACAGTAGCTGTGAGGACTCAATCGTTCTACATGATACTTTTTCATATTGAATGTTTGGTTTACTTTTGGGAAATTTTTGAAATTTTAAATTTTAAAAAGTTGATATGATATAAATTGATCAACCGTTCAAATAGCTGAATGTTCTTTATAAATTAGACGCAAATCGGTTAAAATTTGACAAACATCTTCTATTTTTTTGATGTTGGATACTTTTTTTTTCAAAACATTTTACATAATTTGTATTCAGTGGCACTTAGTTTAGTCGTCAATTATTTTTCAAGCTAGTGACAATAGTCGTTATAGCCCTATAATCGTTTTTATGATTGAAGATATCGTAAGTTATTTAACGTCAGTTACGAAAAATATACTTTTTTGTTTGTTTAAAAACTCATCACAAGAGTCCCTTGCTGAAATACTATCAAGATTTTTCTTGGTATCGTTTACCAAAAATTTTCTACGGGATAGCTGAAAACGCAAGGCATTTTTATCAATTTCATCAAAATAATAATTTTGCCCCCGGATATGGTACCGTTAAAAGTCTCTTTATTTACCATACTTACCATACCATTTTTTTTAGTGAAGTTTCAATCTTTGGTGGAAAATATTTATAAAAAAATTCATCAGATTTATAGCCGTGAGGTTTGAATACCATTCCTATTGTTCCAGTTTTTTTTTACACGTATCAAAATAGGATATCAACACATCATTTTCAACAAATCCACGTTCGACGATTGGACCGAAACGAAATCAGTTTATCATTTGAACATAAAATAATCGTAATAGAAACCAAAGGATAAACATTCGGACTTTTAGGATTCCGATGTGTGCGAGTTGTAACAGTAAAAAAGTGTAAGTTCTTGTAGTTGTAGTAGTATTGCGTGTTAGAACGATGATCCTGTCTGAAAGAATGTACCTGTCTGGACAGTGTCATGTAGTGTCCCGATCAGTTTAGTATTTCCCTTCTGATTGAATGTACATTGAGTAATCCCTGATTGTTTTACTGTGTTAGTCTTATGTCTAATCTCTTACAAACTAAAAAATAGACAGTAATCAACAATGACATTAAATCAAAAACATTAATAAACCAAAACACCACACACAGATAAAAAAAACCACAATTCCTTACGAGTCTACTATCCGCATGCAAAAGAACACTTATTGAAATACTTTTTAATTAGCGGCGATTGGAAAATACTCTTCTATTTGAAAGGTTGTTCCAAACAGAAGAGTCGCATTTAGGGGAGAGTATCCATCCGGATATATTTCGCATTTAGGAGCTTATATAGAGAGCCAATATAATGTACAGGACAAGGGGGAGTACGTAAAAATAGAGGACAGAAGGTTCGGAAAAGGAAGAAAGAAAATCTTTCAACTTACCCGCTTAGCTCCAGCATCGAGCCACGTCGATTGTTGCGCCGGTGGCTGGCCGTAACCGGGAAGGCATTGGCGTGGGGCACGACCGCCTTCGAAACTCCCAGCGGATCATCACCGGCGGCTTCGCTCGAACCAGGGAACGTGATGTAGCCGGCGATCGAGGCCGATCGTTTATCCTTCTTGACGCGGCCGATTGGTGTCGTCGCCGTCACCGGGGTCGATGTCTCGGAATCCGTTACCCCGCCAATGACGATACCGCCCGAGCCGGAACTCTCGCGCCGGAAAAGACCTATTACAGACTTAGCCTGTTTAGGTTGTGTTAGGCCACCTACAGGAACGGTTGAGCGGTGACAGGAAGGTCACGGATAATGGGATAGAGAAATGCTGTTAGGTGCAAGCTAATGCAGCGGATGCAAATTAATCAAATCATATGTGTACAGGTGTGTGTGGTTGATCGTACCGGGAAATAAATACAGAATGGGTGGGTGGGTGAGTTCAAGTACCGAACGGAAGCGGAAAAAAAGACGGGCGGGGTGGCCAAAGGTGGTGGAGTCTTTACTGGTGAATCATCTGTATACTTCTCAAGGTGACGGTGGTTGAACTGAACTGTTAGGTTCATGTGAACGTTCGAAGCTATATTCGAGTTAAAAGGGGCCAACTATTATGGTGTTGAATGCAGATAATCAATTATCTGACTTATTTTTCACGGGCAAGGAGTCGTTAAACATTTATTATTATTTCTTTAGAAATTTTAACTATAAAAGATGCCGTAATCTGGGATCTTGTAATATTAAAGTTGGAATTGGTGAGACAAATTCACACTTTTCAAAGAAAATAAGTTATTTTGTATGATAATGTAACATTTCTTGCTTGATCTTATCAATTTATCATTTACCAGATTCTGGTTCTTAACAAAACGTGTTGGTCAGAGACATAAAACAATATCCAGGACATAGCACAGGCCTGCCCAAGGTTTTTTAGGAAGCTGAATATTAACCGTCGCGTAAAATCTACCTTCGTTTAATTTTGAGCTAAAGTTGGTATAACAACAAAGTTGATTGCAAGATTGTGTTTACATGAAATATCGTGTAAATTTACTCCAAATCTAGCGTTTACTACACGTGTGCTATATATCACAGAAATTTACACGAATTTTTCAAACGGTGTAAACTTCAGCGGATGTTTGTCTTTGATCTTGTCAAGAGTAATCTAGGTTGCCTTTCTCACTGCTACACTATTTGTACTTTTACATGCCTTCTCGCCATTTTCGGGACCAAGACCAAGAATGGAAAATTATTTGTATTCATTTTGTGCATTCATTTACAATACATTCATTTGCCTCTAACTTTTTTCATCAACAGAATTCCGTAAAATGACGGATGAAGCTTTTGTAGGTTTTATGATTAACTACAATTGTTTGAGTTTTTATCAGTTTCTCTTATGCATGACGAACTAGAGCGGGGTAATTTACATTCACTGAAAAACAATGGTGGGTTCTGTTCGCTCTGGTTCATCATGTATAAGTGATACAGATTTGAATTATTCACAAAAGTTATAGCTAATCATAAAACCTACATTTTACGGAATTCTGTTGATGCAATGTACGAAATGAATGTAAATGATTTTCCATGCCTGACCAAGACTAACTTCTAATCAGAAATCACAGAACTTTTTATGGTTATTAACAATCCAGTTGATCGCTGTGTTAGGTCGTTTAATTATCTGAGTGCTGTCTTTGATTTTAACTTGTCCAAGTCTGTGTTTGAAAGAAGAATTGGAAACTTATGTTAATAATCAGTCTATGACATTTTTATGCAATACGAGGCGAAGAATAATATTCAAACCAAAATCAAATATTTGGATATGAATCGGTTGTTTCGTCACTGTATGAAGTTGTGTGGATTCATCCGTACAGTGTAGATTTGTCCGGCAAGCCGGTTTGTTATTTCCTCACACATTGAACGCAAAGAGCAACCTTTAAAGAATCGCTCTGAATCTCAGCAAGGATATCATTCTAGCCCAATTTTATTCATAATTATGAATTTTAGCCCAGAATGAATGAGAAATAAACAACATGCATCTTGAAACATGTTAACCATTTATGAGTTCTTGCGTTGAACAAAAAAGTCATCCGGAGTCTCGAAAAGCGCACCTCACGTCAAATCATTCTCTCGCTGAAGTTCACTCTCCCTCTCTCGAGGAGTTTTTTTTTTTCACTTCTTCAATATTCCTGCGGCCACTAACTCGAGGTGCGGGCTGACTAAACTCGCAAGACAAGAGTGTTTTAAAACCTCCAGTGAGTTTGAGGAGTTTTAGCAAGCCTGTGTTTTTGAATCAGATTTGTTACATGTTGCGTTTTGGTCCTACTGTGTTACCTGACTTGCAACTTCCTCGGGTGTACCCGGAACATGGTGGGATGTTTTTAGTCTCTCTTTATTAGTTTTTGTTTGTCTCGATTAAAGAATTTGCTCTGTTTTACGTTTGGAGGTTCAACAGAGAATGTCCGCTCTGATTTATTTTAGCTCTGGCCTGAGCTTTTATCTTTTCGTGACATACACGCGTGCAGGAGTATGCGTTACTGAAGCTATAATAAAATAACATTCAGCGATCCTGTAGCTATCAGATCTGTAATTTGCCAGTACATTACATCGATGAGTCTCATCGTCGCCCACTGGTCACTAAAGCCGTTCGAACTCCAGACGAATCTAGATTCGACATAGCGTTCATACTGGCGACAACGCTCGTTGCCTCGAGACCCCACCCCCAAGCTCCTATCAAGATCCTATGTACCCTTATAATTTGGGGTAAGCCGCGAGTATTCGGCTCCTACTAGACATACAAATAAGTGATTTTTGTTATAAACAATGAATTATCGGCTCCGTAAAGCTAACGCGATTGAGCCTTCTAAATAAACAAACTTGATAAATGAATGGCCGGATGAGGCCAAGGTGATCCTGAGTACACGGTTTGGCTGACTTTGATCTTGTTTTTTTTAAATTCTGATGGGTTTTTGGTTCTAGTCAGAAACGGGCCGTTTCCTCGGGGGTACCAGGGAAATGCCGGAGGCGGCCAATGTGACCGTGGGCACTCGGTTTGGCTGATACTGATTTTGTTTTTAAAATATGGTGTAATTTGATATGCAACATGATGCGTATTGCTCCTAGTGAGGAACTGGCCACTTTCTCGGGAGTACCCGGAACATGGCAGGATGTGGCCAATGTGGTCCTTGACACTCGGCTTGGGGCTGTCATTGATCTTGTTTTTGAATTCTGATGTAATTTGATGTGTCGCTAGATGGATTATGGTCCTAGTCAGACACTGGCCACTTCCTCGGGGGTACCCGGAACATGACCCAAGTAGCACACATCTGTCACACAAAGTTGCAGCAACTTGATTCTAACTAAAACCGGTTTGTGACAAGTGTGCTATCAGGGGCCGGATGAAGCCAATGTGGTTTTAAGCACTTGGTTTAAGGTTCAGTACCGTTAATACCAGTAAATTACCGGTACCAAATGATTTTGTTAAAATAATGGATGCTATTTGTCAGTTATAGTCCCATAGATTTTCCGATATTATTTTTGAAGTTTTACCTCTCTCTACTCGGGTAGCATCCATGCCTCTCACGCTGAAGGTCACAATCCAAATCTCATCCCCAGACATGTCGCCATTGGACAAAATTAACACTTATTAGTAATAAGTTGTTACTGTAAAAAAATGTGTTCATTATCGTATCTTTAGGCTTATAAATGTGACGCACATTCAATGTATCGTCTACCATGAACGAATTTCAGCAGCAAAATTTCCAGACGCATTATATGCTCTCTCTGACTCTACTGAAGTAGAACGAACCGTACTTAGTTGTTTAAAAAGCACTATGAAATAGTTTCCTTTCAATATTTCAGACAACTTCATGTTAGCTAGCTAAAAGCTGAAAAAAACATCCATTTAGCAGAATTAGAATATCTTAGGCTGGATAAGCTACTGTTCAGCTTAAAATGTTTGTTGGATTTCGTTCATCCATATTCTATAATGACATTTTCACCATGCTACCGTCCTCGATTTTGACTATTTTTTCAGCCTCACACCACAAAAAAATCTATAAAGTGAAACATTTTCAATAACGGAAAGGCTTTCGCCTGCCGTTAAGATTGACAGTATGCTTTCACGGCGTGAGTAGAAAGTCAATGTTGAACACACCGCTTGCTGAGCAGCAAAATGTCGCCAATGTTTCACTTCTTGATCCGTCTATTAATTTATCCGCACTTCCTCATCTGTTCTGTTTTAGTTTGTTTAATCGAGGTTCGAGGAGTTCGTGACATTTAAAAAAAAATATATCAAAATCATAACTCGTGGACAGTGGTACTAAGGAATACATTAAAAGTATTCCAAGAATAAAAAATTGACATCATATTAATAAAATATATTACTCATATTGCAAATGACCAGTACCGAATGTACCGGTAATTTCACATGCGGAATTTCGGTACCAACAAATCACACTGTATGGAATCCAGGGATGCCAGGCGTATTTAAATTAAAAAATCAACAATGAGATCGATGAAATGTCTTCTCATGTCTTCATCGCTGCCGGTGCTACTCCGAAGAGCGGGCACAGTTTTTTTGAATATTTCAGATTTGTAACGTTAACGTCGAGGAACGTTGTAAACAATCAAGGAACTTCAGTCCGCATCGTGCTCTCTTGCCGTGCGGATCTATTTGCTTTTTGCTGAAGGAAGTGTTACTACTACCTAAAGCTACAACAAATTTAAACAGCACTTTTCAGTGCTCAACCTGTAAAAATTTTCTACCTTGTTCAACTCCTCTTATTCCTCTTCGATCCTTGTTTGGACCCTACCCGAGGTAATCCTTCTTGGATATCGATTTGGAAAATTCCTCTTCGATCCTTCAGATTCTTATAGTAATCTGCTTGGAAGTCGATTTGGATAAAAATTTACTGCCCCCATGGCGCCTAAACGCAAAAGAAAGGGGCAAACTTTTGACCCCCCTTCTGATGAAATTAATTTGAGTAATCAATTTGATTTGCTCACGGATGATGAGAATGATCCATCATCCAAGAAAAATTCTAGTAAACTTTCCCGGCTTAATGCCAAGAAGGAAAAGATTCCCCCTATTGTGATAACCACTACCGATTTCCATGCTCTTCGCATGGAACTTTTGAATTTCGTGAAAGTTAAGTTTTCACTACAAATTGGACGTCGGGGTGAATGCCGTGTATTAGCTGAAACCTTGGACGGATTTAAATGTCTTCTCAAGTATCTTACTGAGAAGAAGCACAAATTTTTTACTTACGACACCAAAACTGAACGT